CTTCAATGTTTGGCTTCAGTTGCGACCTGCTGAGTGTTTCATGATTTAGCTTCTGAGCTTTAAAACCTTTATTTGCTTTTGGTTAAAAGAAAAAAATCCACTGATGTTTAGGTTTCCATTCAATAAAGGGACTTTTACAGGTAGACGAAGTCAAAAAAAAAGAATGAAAGGAAAAAAATGAGGTAAACTTGTGGATTAATACCCTTTGGTGTTTAAATTTTAACTTGGATTCTTGGAGTTTCTCCATCATGTTTTTTTATTCTATATTCTTTTAAATCAGATACACGAAAGCAAACAAATGACTTTAAAGTAGAGAGGCTTATTTGGACGATATTAACTTTTTAAATAACGTGCTGTTGGACACGTCTGCGTATAATTAACCAATTATTAAGCAGGGAAATGAAGCTGCAGTAGCAGCTGCTACAGCTCAGATGCAGATTAATTTGTTGGTCCTTTTCTCGCTCATTTTTCAGACCTCAGAATAACGTTTCTGTCTCTATTTAAACTTCGTGTTTCCTCTTTCAGCTGCAGTTTGATGGCACCATCTTGTGGCCACTTGTTTGGATGATCATGACCTGTTTAAAGTGCCTGTGACATCAAATTTTTTGTAATATATATGAATGCATTTTTAGAAAGAAGACATTGATAAAATATTGCAAAATAAATTTCATGTCGCTGAGATGAACAGTTATTGAGATATTTGCCTGTGAAGTAACAGGAAGTGATGTCAAAGGGGAATGTCAGCATGTGAACAGTGCGTTGTTACAACAGCCAACAACCCAGACGGTTTCTTTAGATTATTTTGAGTCTCTATCAGAGAGATGATGAAGAGTCAGAGTTCAGATAATATTGATTCAATAAACAAAGACCAGAGTTTTCTTTAAGAGTTCCCCTTTGATGTCACTTCCTGTTTCACTTTGGCTGAGCCAAGTTCAAAAAAAAATATGCCAGTTATGGGYCAAAATGGGTTAAATTCTATGTGTTATTCCGACTTTCTTAAACATAAAGATGATTTCTTTGACTTTTTGTATTTGAAGAATATGCATYTCACAGGCACTTTAACGCTTTGGCGAGGACCAATCAGATGGAGAGTTGTGGTGGCAGGCGAAAGCACTAAATAGTGGCTTTAAAAAACAAAACAATCAGTGATGATTAGAGGTTTGAAACCTGAACAAAGGCGTCCTCAGTCTTTCTATCCAACCCTCAAGAACAAAAGATGATGTCATAATTAGGATTATTTGTCATATTTCTCGATGTTTTTGCTGCTAGTCAGTCTAAGAAGTGTCAGCGTGGAGCACCAGACCCAACGACGAAGCAGCTACAGATGAGATTGCATCACATCACAGGAAATTTGACCAAAAGGTAAACGTTCAAAGTCGGCATCAGTTACACGATGATTCGCCCAATCACAGAGCTGCCGCTGTGCAGTGCTGCGGGTCAAAAAGCACACAACCTGAGGCTCAGTTCAAATGTAGTGTAGTAGCTAGTAACGGGAAATGTTACGAGCCGAAGTAGGGGRGGCGGTAGTGTTGAGAATGTTAATAGTGTTTCTAACATTTCGTCACACTCCTGAAAAGCACGTGCCGTTAATTTTGGTTAGTGAGGACAAAAGAAACGGAGGAACTAGCTTTTACAATGTTTCACATACTSAACGTCACATTTGTCACAATCTCCTCTCTCTCTCTTTCTCTGCTCGCCCAGCTCGGCCCCCCTCCTCCCTCAGTGCTTCAGCGAGAAGTCACCGGTGTTGAGACGGGGTCGCGGCAGCGCCCCGAACATCTCCGTCCCGTCGGTGGCTCCGGGGACCAGCAGGGCCTTCATGCTGGCAGCGATGTGCTCCAGGTCGGCGCAGCCCACCTGAGACACAGGCAGCTTGGGGTCAGAGTGTTCAGCTTTCAGGGGCGTCCTCCCCTGCCTGTTCAAAATGATCTGATGTACGTCGGAAATGTTGACACACTTTCAGAATCACATGAGCAGGAGGAGAGGATGTTCGGGAACTCAATGACATCTTTGTTTTGTCAACAAAATAAAATCCTAAATGATCAACTGATGCCTAAAAACAACAGTTACTTATTTTTCTTTGGAACATTATTTAAGTCATTTCTAGTGAATTTTCAAGCATTTCTATCGCAAAGTGTTTTAAACAACACATTTAACATGCATGATATTTTCACTTAACTTTCACTTCAACATATGTGCTCCATCACATCAAACTGAGGATTAAGTCAATTTCGGTCAAAATGACCTCATCAAATCTTCAGATTCCTGGTTTTAAAAGCTACATTTTGATAACTGGATCATCCAGATATTTGTTAGTTCAATTTATTCCTTTTCTTCAAAAAAAATCAACAACATAAATTCAACAAACAACAAAAATAC